GGGGACGGCTGCACTGCCGGGCGGCAGATTGAAGATCACCTCCCGCGGCGCTTCACCTTGCGCCCGCATCACTGCGTAAGTCATGCCCGGCAGGAGACCTCCACGACGTCCACGGCGACGCTGACGCGGTCCGGGCGACGCGCCGCCTCCGAAGACAGCACGCGCTGCGGCGCGCACTTCGCGCACTTCGCCGTCTGGTCGCTGTTCCGTGGCCTCTGGAGCTGTTTGAGCGGCGGAAGTGAAGCCCGGGAGGCCCCAGAAAAGTTCAAAATGTCGCGGGCAAAAGGGGGGGGGAATCTGGGAGGGTGTGCCGACCCGGGCCCCGGCACCCTGGCATTGTCGAGGGGTGGGGGGTGAGTCCGACGTGATATGGAGATCCCCCCTACCGGGAAATCGATTTCGGTTTCGGGTTCGTGTCGTGCGTGCCGTGCGTGCGTGCGGGCGAGGCGAAGCTGCGGGGGCGGGCGAGAGGAAATCCTCCGGCGGCTGGGCCGCGGCCGGACCAAATGTAACTCCTCCGGCGGCTGGTGCCGCGCGGTGTCCCGACGGTGTCCCGCGGGTGTCCCGAAATCCTCCTGTGGCTGGGCCGCGGCCGGACCAAATGTTTCTCCTCCGGCGGGCGGTGCCGCGCGGTGTCCCGCTGGTGTCCCGTGGTGTCCCGTGGTGTCCCGTGGTGTCCCGTTGAGTGAGGTCGATCGTGAGATCAATAATGAGATCGGTACTGAAATCGATGTGGTGCCCCGAGGTGTCCAGAGGTGTCCCGTGGTGTCCCGTTGAGTGAGATCGATAGTGAGATCGATAGTGAAATCGACAGGTGTCCCGTGGTGTCCCGTGGTGTCCCGTTGAGTGAGATCGATAGTGAGATCGATAGTGAGATCGATCGTGAGATCGATGTGGTGTCCCGAGGTGTCCCGTGGTGTCCTATGGTGTCCCGCTGAGTGAGATCGATTGTGAGATCGATAATGAGACCGATAACGAGATCGAGAGGTGTCCCGCGGTGTCCCGTGGTGTCCCGTGGTGGCCCGTGGTGGCCCGTGGTGTCCCGTTGAGGGAGATTGATAGTGAGATCGATAGTGAGATCGACAGGTGTCCCGTGGTGACCCGTGGTGGCCCGTGGTGTCCCGTGGTGTCCCCTTGAGTGAGATCGATAGTGAGATCGATTGAGTCAGAGGTTGGTGCCCCCCCTTTTCCCCCCCACAACCTCCTTATCACCCGAAGGTGGGCGTGTAGGTATAGCTTTATAGATATGAGCTGCGCTGCGCAAGCCATGTGGTACAACATGCGGTGCGCAATATATGTGGCGGGAGCTGCGTGGTGCAAAGAGGCGACGTGGTGCAATTTAAAGGGCGCAATTAATCCCACCAGCCCTCTGGGCGTAGGTGGTTTAGAAGGTTTCCTCTTCCACCCCCCTGTTCCCCCTTCGCGGAGGGATTTACCCCTCCCCCCTACCCCCCCCCTGGACCTGGACGGGGGGACTCGCGATCGGTCAAATGGTATTTGTTTCGCCCAAGACGGTTCCAAGAGCGCTTCAGAAAGCCCGAGGTGACCTCCAAGATGGCTCAAGATAGCGCAAGATGGCCCAAGATGGCTCCAAGATGGCCCAAGAGGGCCCCAAGAGGGGCCCAAGAAAGCCTCAAGACGGCCCCAAGAGCTCCCAAGAGCGCTCCAAGAGCGCCGAAAGAGAGGTCCAGGAGGGGATTCTCGGGGCACCCTAGGGGAGGGACAAATTGCGACCATCCCCTTCTTTGTTCGATGTCCTCCGAGATGGCCCCAAGAGCGCCTCCAAAGCTTCCAAGAGCGCCATGACCCCAAGAGGGCCCCAAGAGGTGCCAAGGAGGCCCCGAGAGGTGCCCAAGAGGATTTCATGAGGCTCCTGATAGACCCCAAGAAGCTTCCCGAAGCACCCAAGACGCTCCAAGAACTCCAAGACCGCTAAGAGGTCCCCAAGACGCTCCAAGAGGTTTCCAACAAAAAACTCCCAAGAGACACCCACAAAGACTCTGAGAGGCAACTCGCCTTGGCATCGTTTCTGGATGGGTTGCTGGGGATACCCGAAGCGTCAAGACTTTCTGTCCGCATTGAATTGCCAACTCCACTGCTCGCGCAATCACCCCACCCACCCACCCACCCACCCGCAACTTGGTTTGCAACACACATGTGGTGGCGATTGCGCTGAGTGCTTGGCGTTGGATGGTCCATCTCTGCGGCCGCGCCGACCCAAGAACGCGCGCGCAGCGGCCAGTTAGTTCGTCTCGACCGACGCGACCGCGGTGGCGCTGACCGCTCCCAACGGGCAATTCAATGCGAGTCGGCGGCTTGGGCGGGCGCGGTACCATGACAACGTCGGCGATGGTAGACACGATAGTAGCGATGCTGGCGGCGATGTTGCCAACGACGACGGCGCGGCCAGTGCGGGCGCTGATGTGGATCACGCCGACGACGATAGCGGCGTCCTCGCGTCGGTGATGAAGGTGTTGGGAAGAGTTCGACATGCGCGCGCGGCCGACGCGCGAGAATGGCCCGCATGTAGTTGACACGTACCGTGCCCCCCCCCCCAGCACACGCGCAAGTGCGCGCGAATGATCTCGGCATGCGGCGCCAGAGGCCCGTTTGGCAGACTGCCATGCTTTCTTTTAATGAAGAATCCGCACGTGCGCGAGCGCACGCGTTTTGAAGACTGATGTTGCGAAGCCGTGTGTGCTTGTATGCTGTTTGGACCCTCGGTTCTGAAATCGCTGCGAAACCACAGACGGATCTCGGCATGCGCGCGCGACGACGCGCGCGCGCGTGCCCTCCGTCACATGGTTTGCAAAGGCTTTGGGCGGCGGCACGCGCGCAAGGGCGTTCGAACGAGTTCGACATGCGAGCGCACGCGAAGCCCGTCTGGCAGCAGCTTCTATCGGGGATGGACAGACCCCCCTTCAGTAAAACGTGGTTTAGTGAAAACGACCTGAGGCCCAAACCTGGCGGGCGCACGCCTGAAATATAACGGCCACGGCGCCCTCTCGAGAACCGAAAACGGACAATTCACGAATCGACGTGTCACTTTGGGGGGTTCTGTCCACCCCCGATTTTAAGAGTAATGAAAAGCCTATGATTATCTTAAGGATTCGCAAGAGCGCGCGCGTACGTTTTGTTTGCAAATCAGTGTTGCGAAGCCCTTGTGTTTTTTAAGTTGTTTAGAAACTTGAGTTTGAAATCCTTCCAAAACCCAGGGCTTTTGAAGGACTTCGGCACGCGCGCGCGACCATGCGCGTGTGTGCACTGCGTCTCATTTTGCGCAAGGGATTTTTGAGAACTGCTGATTAAAAGAGTGCGCGAGAATACTTCGTTTTGTAGTGGGTGTTGAGGTGGGCGGATACTGGCCCCTCTGGGATGGCGTAAGTTCACATCAGGGATGGACAATGGGGCGGAAACGGGGCAGAATCACATGCAAATTGCAACACAACAAAGGGAACGGATAGTCCCAGGGGGGGAGTCCTATTTCTCAATGTAGAAAGGAGCATCTGCGCAGTGCAATCTATGATGTGGTCTGTGTGGTGTAAACTACGTTCCCGGATAGCTTTTTAGAGCTAAGAGAGGGTTGTTAGATAAGAAGCCCGAGCCGCAAGGTAGCCCTCGAGGTCGTCCCGGTTTCCGTCTTCCAGCGCCGCTGCGCCCTGCTGGAGCTTTTAGCGTGTCCCGAGAGGCCTCTTCTCAGCGTTTCACAAGACGCGTGCCCGGAAGCTCTCCAGAAGGTCCTTCGGAAGCTCCCTCCTCGGGGGCGCGCAAACATCGATCCATGGATTTGGCACGCCGTCGCCTAATCCATGGAACCTCCCCAAAATGCGGCCGATGCCGCCTCGTTCGGCGGCGGAAATCCGCGATTCCCCATAGAGACGGGACCCGTCGCCAATCCATGTCCCCTGAATCCATGTTTGCGATCGCCGGATCTCCAGGTCCCTCCAGAGTTCTTCGCCAGACGCTTCCACGCCTTTCGGGTGCCCTGCTGTCCGGGCTGTGGACTGCGCAGACTAGACGAGCGCGTTCCACTACGCGCAAAATAGCCACCCGCAAATGGCCCGGATCCGCCGCGGGGGATCGGCGAGAAACGACATCGAAGCAGGCATATGTGTTCTTCGGGCGCTTGCGAGTAGGCACTTTGCGAGTACAGGGCAGTTTTTAAGACATAGGATGTTAAAAAATATGGGATTTACAATACATGATTGAATTATGCATACATTGATGCATGAACTCATCGTGGCTTTTAACACTGAATCCCTGCATGTTTAATACATGATCCGCACGCGGAGCATGTATTAAAAACAGCACTTTGCGAGTAGTGAAACGCGCCGGGTGACAGTGAAGGGGCCCTGGGACACACAAATAAATACACACAAATAAACAGAATCCCCATATTTCCCAATATTTTCTCGGTTTTCGTCTTCACCCCCGCTTCCCATATTTTCTCATATTTTCTGGGGAATCGACGATTCACTGTGTCTGTGTGTTTCTTTCCCTCCTAAACTTTGCGAACAGTGAAACGCGCCGGGCGACAGACGGTGCGGCAACGGGCGGGGCGGGGCCCGCGGGGCCCGCGGGGCGGGCCTTCTGCTCGGAAGGAACGGGGCGGCGGCGACCGGGAGCGGGGCCGCCGGGCCCGCAGGCGGGTTCGTTCCTTTTCGTTTCTTTGTTAAATGGTCTTTTTTACTCAAAAAAAAATCCTCCTCCTCCTCCTCCTCCTCCTGCTCCTCCTCTTACAAAATATCCAAAACTAGTCACAGATACTTTAGAATAATAAAAAATCGCCCCCAGACTACTACATTGTTTGACTATTTGTTTGAACCGTCCTCCTGTGGAGGCACGTGCCCGACTGGACCTCAGAAGGGAAGCAAGGTACCCCAGTGCAAGCACTGCCGGGGGAATAAAGGAAGACAACAGCGAGAGGGCATGGCGGCATGAGCCAGACAGAACCAGCTCGAGAGAGAGAGGGAGCGAAAGGGATGTGAGGCCGAGGCCGCCTCGGCCAGCAGCAGGGCGTGCTGGACCTTGGCCCCGAGCGCCTGAACGCAGCGGCAGCGGCCGACGCCGTGACAGACACGGAGATGAAGAATCAGCAGCAGCAGCAGCAGCAGCAGCAGCAGCAGCAGCAGCAGCAGCAGTACAACCACCAGGGGGAACAGGCAGGAGGAGAAGCAGGAGCTGCAGCAGCCGAGAGGTCCGGGCAACACGCTCGGCCCGGGCCAGCCTGCAGGTGCCAAGTGGGCCCGGCAGGCTGCCGTGTGGCGATGCTGCCTCTGCCGCCGCCGCCGCCTGATGCTGCCGCTGCTGCTTGCACTGCTGCTGCCAGGGCTGCTGCCCGAGAGATCCGATGTAGTCTGGGCGCACCCATAGTTCTGGGGGACCAAGAGCCCAGAGGACCCTTGTAGTCTGCGGGGGGGGCCCTTGTAATCTAGGGGGGTCCCTGTCGGGGTGGGTCCATTGTAATCCGGGGGGGGGGGGGCGTGTAGTCTTGGGGAGGGGGCCCTTGTAGTCTTGGGAGGGCCCTTGTAGTCTGGGGGCGGGCGGGGCGGGCCAGTCTGGGTGGCCCTTGTAGTCTGGGGGCCCAGCACCATGGAGGTACAGTCGGACCTGGGCCAGAAGAACACCCCTCAAGAGCATGAGACCCTCCGTCGGCCGAGACAAGCAGAACATCCAAGGGCAACCCCCCAGGATGCACAAAAACATCCAACAGTCTCCCCGATCGGCGGTGGACAAACCTCCCTTGAGTAAACCTCCCCTTAGTGCAAACGGCTGGGACTGAAACCGACGGACCTGGACCCGCAAAAATGACGGCCGCGACGCCGCCTCGCGAATCGAAAACGGCCAATTCCTCAATCGACGTGTCAGCGTAGGAGGTCTGTCCACCCCCGACCCGAACCGACCTCGGTCCTATCCCTCGGTCCGACTGCATCACGGCCCCCAAGAAGCCCCGACCCCTCCCCCAGGCCCAGCTCTGCCAGCGAGGGCCCCCAGAGGCCGAGGCCCTGCGCAAACCTACATATGTTTCCTTTCTCAGCCAGTGCCTCCTCCTCCTGCTCCTCCTGCTCCTCCTCCTCCTCCTCCTCCTCCCTCCTCCTCCTCCTCCTCCTCCTCATCCTCCTCCTTCCTCCTTCCTCCTCCTCCTACTCCTCCTCCTCCTCCTCCTCCTTCCCTCCCTTCCTACTCCTCCCTCCTCCTCCTCCGTCCTCCTCCTCCTCCTCCCTCCTCCTCCTCCTCCTCTCTCCTCGCTCCTCCTCCTCCTCCTCCTCCTCCTCCTCCTCCTCCCCTTCCTCCTCTCCTCGCCTCCTCCTCCTCCCCTCTCCTCCTCCTCCCTTTCCTCCCTCCTCCCTCTCCCTCCTCCCTTCCTCCTCCTCCCTCCTTCCCTCCTCCCTCCTCCTCCCTCCTCCTCCCTCCTCCCTCCTCCCTCCTCCCTCCTCCTCCCTCCTCCCTCCTCCATCTCCCTCCTCCCCTCCCCTCCTCCCTCCTCCATCCTCCATCCTCCCTCCTCCCTCCATCCCTTCCTTCTCCCTTCATCCCTCCTCCTCCTCCCTCCTCCCTCCTGCTCCCTCCTCCCTCCTCCCTCCTCCCCCTCCCCCATCGCCCTCCTCCCTCCTCCCCCCTCCTCCCCTCCTCCCTCCGTCCCTCCTCCCTCCTCCCTCCTTCCCTCCTCCCTCCCCCCCCTCCCCCCTCTCCCCCCCCTCATCCGCCTCCCCCGCCTCCCAGCTTACTCTCCTCCCTCCTCCTCCCTCCCTCCCTTCCTCCTTCCTCCTCCCCGCCTCCCTCCATCCCTCCTCCCTCCTCCCTCATTCCCTCCTCCTCCTCTCACCCTCCTCCTCACTCCTCCTCCATCCCCTCCTCCCGTCCTCCTCCTCACGCCTCCTCGTCGTCCTCGTCGTCGTCTTCCCCCCCTCCCTCCTTTCGTATTATAAATAAAAAAACAAGTAAAGTTTCATCGTAGTCGTAATATTATCCGCATTCGTATTCTTATTATTCGTGTGAGCCGTATCATTAGTATTCGTATTAGTCTTATTATTAGTATTAGTATTACTAGCATTAGAAGTAGTATTAGCATTGTTAGTATTAGTGTTCGTGTTAGTAGTAATAGTATTATTACTACTGTTATTATTATTATTTATTTATTTATTTATTTATTTATTATTATTATTATTATTATTATTATTATTATTATTATTATTAGTAGTAGTAGTAGTAGTAGCAGTAGTAGTGTTACTATTAATAGTATGATTATTATTATTATTATTATTAGTACTATTATTATGATTAGTATTATTATTAGTATTATTAGTATTATTATTACTAGTATTAGTATTATCGTTATTAATATTATTAGTAGTAGTATTACTAATGTTAATATTAGGGGTAGTGCTAGTAATCTTCATATTAGTATTAATAATATCAGTATTACTATTATTAGGAATATTATTAGTATTCTTATTAGTATGAGTATTAATATTATTAGTGGTAGTATGGTTATTATTATTGTTCGTAGTAATATTATTATTCGTAGTCGTATTAGTATGCTGTTTCGTCGTAGCATTCGTCTTCGTAGTATTCGTATTCGTCGTCGTATTATTATTCTTCTTAGCATTATTAATATTCGGAGTATTCGTATTCTTATTAGGTTGTTTCGTCTTATTATGTTTCGTCGTCGCCTTCTTATTTTTAGTATTAGTATCAGTCGTATGGTGTGTCTTCTTCGTCTTAGTATTGTTATTCTTCTTCGTACTGGTAATATTAGTATGCGTATTATTCTTATTCGTGGTCTTATCATTCTCATCCGTATTAGTCGAATTATTATGAGTCGTCGTATTATCAGTCTTAGTAGTATTCTTCTTGTTATTATTACTAGTATTGTTAGTATTAGTATGGTTAGTATTAGTATTGTGATGATGGCTAGTATTATTATTCTTCCTCTTCGTCCTCCTCCTCCTCCTCCTCCTCCTCCTCCTCCTCCACCTCCTCCGCCTCCTCCTCCTCCTTCTCCTCCGTCTCCTCCTCCTCATCCTCCTCCTCCTCCTCCCTCTACCTCCTCCTCCTCTCCCCTCCTCCCCTCCTCCTCCGCCTCCTCCTCCGCGCTCCTCCCTCCTCCTCCTCCTCCTCCTCCTCTCCTCCTCCTCCTCCTCACCCTCTCTCCTCCTCTCTCCTCCTCACTCCTCTCCTCCTCGGCCTCCTCCTGCCTCCGCCTCCTCCTCCTCCTCCTCCTCCTCCCCCTCCCGTCCCCTCACATTCCCCCCCTCCCCCCTCCCCCTCCCCCGCCTCCCTCCCCGCCCTCCCTCCCTCCCACCCTCCCCCCTGCCCTACTCGCTTCATCCCCTCCTCCCTCCTCCCGCCTCCTCCCTCTTCCCTTCCGCCCCTATCCCTCCTCCTTCTCCCCAGCCCCCCGCCCCTTCCACCAGCCCACCCATCTCCTTCCTCCTCCCCCACCCCCACCCCCCCTCACCTCCATCCCTCCTCTTCTCCTCCTCCTTCCCCCTCCCCCCTCCTGCCCTCCCTCCACCGTCCCCTGCTTCCTCCTCACTAACCTCCCGCCTCCCCCTCCCCCCTCCCCCTCCTCTTCCTCCCTCCTCTCCCTCCTCCGCTCCGCCCTCCCCCCTCCGTCCTCCCCTCCTCCCTCCTACCCTCCTCCTCTCTCCCGTCCGTCCTTTCTTTCTCCCTCCTTCGCTCCTCCCTCCTCCCGTCCTCCTCCTCCCTCCTCCTTCCTCCTCCCTCATCCTCCTCCTCCTCCTCCTGCCTCCTCCTCCTCCCCCTTCTCCTCCTCCGCCTCCTTCTCCTCCTCCGCCGCCTCCTCCTCCTCATCTCCTCCGCCCCCCCTCCTCCCTCCTCTTCCTCCTCCTCCTCCTCTCCTCCTCCTCCTCCTCCTCCTCCTTCTCCTCCTCCTCCTCATCCTCCTCATCCTCCTCCTCCCCTCCTCCGCCCTCCTCCCTCCTTCCGCCTCCTGTCTCCTCCCTCCGCCTAACCTCCTCCTCCGCCTCCCTCCTCCTCCTCCTCCTCCTCCTCCTCCTCCTCCTCCTCCTCCTCCTCCTCCTCCTCCTCCTCCCCATCCTCATTCTCATCCTCATCCTCATCGTCATCCTCATCCTCGCCCTCTTCCATTCCTGCTCCTTCTAAATGAGTCCTCCCCTGTCGCACCCCGAGGACAGTGTCTGGGCGTCCCGCCTGAGACTTCACCCTTGCATGACCCTAGAGCTTACAAATGTGGAGGGCGGGTGGGTTTCAATGTGTGGCTCTCGCCTTAGCGCCGCGCACGTTCGTGTGACAAAAAACTTGCAAGGGCTTCACGGATTGAAGGGTGGTCGTTTTCAAAATGCGGTTCTCGCCTTTGCGCCGCACAGATTCGGCTTAATAACTTTGCACGAGCTTCATTGATTGAGGGCGGGTCGTTTTCAAACTGTGCCGTTCGCGTCAGTGCCGAACACATTCGTTTCAAAATGCGCAAGAGCGTCGCGGATTCAGAGCGGGTCGTTTTCAAAACGCGGCTCTCGCCTTAGCGCCGCGCATTAATTTTAAAAATTTGCAAGGGCGTCACGGATTGAGGGTGGGTCGTTTTCAAAACGTGGCTCTCGCCTTAGAGCCACGCGCACTTGTTTTTGAGATGCACAAGAGCTTCACTGATTGAGGGCGGCTCCTTTTCGACATGTGGCAATCGCCTTAGCGCCGCGTGTATGCATGCTAAACATGTACAAGGGCGTCACTGGTTGAAGGCTGATACTTTTCAAAGATGGCTCTCGCCTGTGCGCCGCGCACATTCGCCGGTACAAATTGCAACAGTTTCACGGGCTCCCATGACCGACGTACCAGGAATGGTCTTCTGGAAGGGCTTAAGACCACGAGGGTGCAACAATTACTTTGCTTCCCGGTGTTGACATCCCAGGAATGGCGTTTTGGCGCGGTTCCAAATCGCCAAGACGAAACAGTCAGGTTGACCCGTGGCGTTGGAATACCGAGAACAATGGTTGGCATGCTTCAAGGTCTTCAAACGGTTGTCTTCCAACGAGGCAGCTCCCTCAGTGGAATTGAACCG